AGAAGTCCCTGGACCAGCAGAACTTTGCATTATGTGTGGCTGACAGTTCCTGCTTGCATCTTTCTGAACTGGAGACATAAGTGGGGGGGAGATTCGCAGCAGACAGAGGCAGAGACAGCCCATACAGCTTTGCTCTGGGTGTAGATTGCTGTCCCTGGACCTGCTTGCCTTTGTGACCTTGAGGAAGGTGAGAACACCTCTTTGCCTTCCCTTTACAATGGACAAGGATTGCACTCTCCCAAGGGTTCTGCCTTTTTAGAGTGAAGTGCTCACCTTCTCCTTGGTTTCTAGACATAGTCAGAGTGTAATGAGAGTGCAGATCCTTTCTGTCCCAGACTCTGGTGGTGCTGCCAGAGCTGTTTTGCACAGTTGGCAGTGGATGTTGCATGGTGGTTCTTGGGGGCATGAAGTTCTGGTGTCTGATGCAAAACTGAGGGGTTTCTATTCCATAAACCCGAGGGCTGGGGCAGCTGTCATAGGCGGTGCAAAGCTGGGGCTAAAGGGGTTTAGTCCCCCCCAAAACTGGGCCGGCAACAATGGCTCCAGCACCACTGCCACTGCAGCACCAGAACCAGCACCCCTGCTGTATGCTCCTCCTCCAGTGCATGCACAACACCAGTGCACATCAGCCCCAGAATGGCCCGGACCCACAGTCAGGCGGGTGCATGCTGCACTGCCCAGCTACCCCAAATAATATTTTCTAGTGCTGCTTATGGGCAGCCTGTAACACATGTGGAGTGCTTTCAGGCCTCCATCTCACTGTATTTAAGCTGAGCACATGGGGAATTATTATGCAAATAGGTTTCATTTGATTAAAACAAGTGCAGATCCCCAGATTGTACTGTTATCTGCATAGTAGGTCGAAGTCTAGAGTCCAGTTTATGCATTGAGAACCCTGCTGGCAGAAGTGTCCGAGAGCCTTAGGGACATACTGTCAGTCCACAGATCAGACTGGCTGAGCAATCCCAAGAGTTCCTAGGATTACCAAAAAACCCCCAAACAAACCTAGAAGTGTCCAAACTGGGACTGTCCTTGCAGGAAAGCTGGTCCCCCTTCCTCTCCCTTGATCATGGTCAGGGCACATCAGTCATTCATCAGTGTTAACTGGAAACTCTGTCCTCCATGCCACTGGTGCTGTCAGAAGGTGTTGACACTCAGCTTGGTGAAAGAAGCTATGTGCGTCGAAGCACAGCTCCTGCCTACCAGGGAAGGGAGGTACATGGTAAATTCCCATTTGGTGCTTTCCCAAGATGTTGTAGTTGGAGGAAGATGTTCTGGGCCCACTGGGCTTTAGCCATGGGGTCTGGATCTTACCAGTTGCAGATGCTGCTGATGAGTTATCTGACCCATGCTGGTAAGTGCCTCTCCTTCTCCCCCACTCCCAACCTCTAGGCCAGAGAGTTTGCAGCTGTGATGTTTGGCTGTCTCAGAAGAGAACAGCTTCTGCTTGCTGTTCAGTCAGGCTGTTAGCCACGCATTAATTCCCACGGAGGAGCTGGGGCAGCAGAACGTTCATCAACACTGCACAGGCCATTCCAAATCACAACAATCAAGCCTAAATTTTGTTTTATTCTTCACTGTAAACCTATCCTAAAGTGGGTTAGTAGATCAGAGCACATGTGCTCTGTATTATTTAGAGGAAGCCTCTCTGCTTCTGTTGCTTGAGTGGATGCTGCTAAACAGGATTCCATGCTCTAGCAGCCTTCTCTTCCCTGCCTCTTTTACACTGTATTTTTACCAGAAGGGATCCCATATTCCCAGACCTCTGCTCTGTTGAAATCTGTTTGCAAAATTTGCCACAATCCCCTCCCACCCACCATGGCAATGTCTGAGCATGCGAGCATGACAACACCAAGCCCCTTCTCCAGCCCTTCTGCTGGCAAGTAAGCCTGTCCTGGGTCACAGTCCTTTGCTTCACTGTCAGTGTCAGCATGCAGACTGTGGCACAGCACACACATGCATATCCTTTTACATGCTCATGTGCACATACCTATATGTATATTCACATGTATACTCGCATTCTCTGGCCACAGTTAACACACTAGCGAAGTCCAATCCAAACTTCATGGCAAAAATGGCCTTTCATTTTTATGGAAAACAGCAAAAATGTCAGGAGAACCCCACGCAATTTTGCCCAGAAATGGTGTTTTTCAGCAGCTAGAGGACAGATCTGCTTGGCCATTACTCAAGCCTGGATAGGCTGGGTCCCTTTGGGCAAGGATGATGGGATCCTTTGGATTCTAGGCTATGCCTGAATTTCCTGTGCTAGCATGGAAAAATAACTGTAGATGCTTCCTCTACCTGAAGAAGGGTGTTTGTACACAAAAGCTTGTGACGAAGGATTTTCCCAACTATTTTAGTTGGTCTAATAAAAGATATCTGATTTACCTAAAGAAGCTTGTCTGCCTGTGCTAGCAATGGCAGGCTGGAGGCTGGGGTCTCCTCTCACCAGCATAAAACAGGAGGAGCCTCATGAATTCCCACCACATTAACCCCCTGCAAGAAGAGAATTGCACACAGCAGCCACAATTATAGGCTCTGGGGTTGCCTCTCCTGGTGCCTGCTGTTCCTCTGAGGAGGGATGCCTGGCAACCATTATGGTGTAACCACTTTGAGAGGAGTGTGCTGATGATGACCCAATTGCCAAACTCCCAGATCATGAGCCAAATTCTGGGCTGCACTGAGGCCCCACTGTTAGGGGACAGGGCAGCAAAGGTAGCTATGAGCTAGGACAGCTCTGGGTGCTAATGGGTTTACAGCAGCCTCCCCACAGCTCTCAGCAGAGGCTCTGCAACCCAGACCTGCTGGCATGCAGGACATCTGGCCTTTCATCTGCATATCTTCCACCCTACCTCCACCCTGGGGACTTGGAGAGGAGCTACTTGGACCCATGCAAGGTAGGCTTGCCCTTCATACTCAGGTTGGTCTCCAGTGTAGCTTAACCCCCCATCATGATTTCACCCACTCTGGCATTATAACCCCTAAAGAGAGAGAAACTCCTGGTGGATGGACATTATCTCTCCTTCTCCTACATAGAGGCAGTTGAGTGAAGTGTGTGTGAAGTGTCATCCTCAGTGAAAATGAACACATCAGCCCAACTAGGTCTATCTTTCATTGTAGAGATGGGCCTTTCTATCCGCAGTGGCAGGGGTGTGTTGTTTTTGGTACCTAGTTTCCTTTTTATGAACTGATAACTGTAAAGTATTGTGATCTAATTACTTTAGGTGCCATTTGAGGTGAAGAGGCTGATATCACCAGCTCTCAATATTTTAAGAATTTGGTTGATATATTGATATTTTCTGAAGATAAATTGCCAAAAATTGGGAAAAGGTTATAAAGCAGTGATCTGTATTCCTGTTCTCCTATCTGCCTGAGCTTTAGCAGGGCTTTAAAAATATGCGATAAAGCACTTCATGAAACATTATCACTCTGACTGTGTCATGTGTGCTGAAAAGCATTTCCAGCTCCTTAACTAACAGATGAGCAGTCACTTCTCCTAGGATCAGCAGAGCCATGTTCTTGGAGGGAGGAGCTAGGGCTCCTCTATACTAGATCAGATGTGAAGCCTGTGGCCCGGGTCCTGCTCCCAAGGGTTGATTCAAGGTATTCAGAGCAGCTATTTCTGCCCGTCCCCCATCCCCACCCCTTCCTGTTAATGACAACGGTTTCAGGTTCTGTGTCTGAGGCCCCCGACAGTGCAGAGCAATCTAGATTCTGCCCAAGGCTGGACTTTCACTCCAGGGCTTGGTCACATCACAACCCTGGGAGGACTGGTGGGATTTGCTGGGAGAGGTGTGAAGCTATTTGGAATATGCATTTTAATGGCAAGCTTGGAGGGATGGAGAGAGGGTGGCAGCTGTGTACCTGAAATCGGACAAAGTAAGCAAAGGAGCTCTGTAGAGCCATAGATTCATAGATTGTTAGAGGCTGGAAGGGACCTTGTAGATCATCAGATCCAGTCCCCCTGCACTAGGCAGGAAAAGACAACTGGGGTCAAGTGACCCCAGTAAGGAGCCTGTTTAGTCTCCTTTTGAAGATTTCCAGGGTAGGTGACTGTACCACCACTGGAGGGAGTTTATTCCACAGTCTGGACACCCTGACTCTGAAGGAGTTTTTCCTGGAATTGAGCCTGAAGCGGCCTTCCAGGAGTTTGCATCATTGCTCCTGGTCTTCCCCAGGGGTGCCCTGGTGAACAGCTGTTCACTGAGTTCTTGATGGACTCTTCTGATGTAGCAGTAAGCTGCTACCAAGTCCCCTCTCAGCCTTCTCTTCTGTAGGCTGAAGAGGCCGAAGTCCCTTAGCCTTTCCTCGTATGGCTTGTCTTGCAAGTCCCTGATCATAGGGGTGGCTGTTCTCTGGACCCTCTCAAGCCAGCCTCTATCAACGTTCCTGTTAGCTCCTATCTACTTGTGCAGGTAAAGGCACCATTGGATATAATGGGATCTACACAATCATGCCTCCTGCCATGCCACGCATGCATTTGATCCAATCATGCCTTATTGCTAGTGTAGGGAGAGTTCTGGGCTCCTCCTCCTTTGTCAAGAAGCAGGTTCCCATAGCTGGGAGATGCCTTTGCTGGAGGAGCTCCCTACCATGGGGGCCATGCATAGCTGAAGCCAAGAGTTCCATGCCTGATGGGACTCTTGGTCCCAGCTGTACCACATGGTCAGCCAAGACAAAGTTCTGCGCCTGACATTAAAAAAAAAATGGTGCAGGGTAAGATTCAGAGGATGGCTACGTGAGTGATTATGGCCCTGGAAAAAACTCCTTTCCCCCCACAAATTCCAAATTTCGACTGAGCAGAGCTCAATCATTCAAGTGTATGTTTGGCTCTACCACCAGGCAAATATCCTCTTTTCCAGACCTATCAGTCTTGGGCTTTTGGATACTCCCCAAATCCATGGCAGGCATCCTATGTGCAAGCCTCAATCCTGGAGGCCTTGGGATTTAGATGCCTCCTAGTCTTACTTGCTCCTAGCCAAAAGGCCAAGGAACAAGCCATGAAGGAAACATGAATGCAGTCCCCCATTGCCACAAAATTGTGCAGTCAAGTTTCCTGCATTCAGGGAAGCTTGCAGGGGTCAGCCTGTTCAGAGAGCAATGAACAGGTCTTACACTGGGAGAACTACATTGGGGAAATCACAAGGGTCAGCCTGCCAGAGTGCAAGGGACAGGCCTCACCCTGGGGAAACCATTTTCTTGATTATGGTATTTTAGGCTAGACATTTGCATAGATTACCAGGGCGTCCAAAGAAATGTAGGTTTCATTCAGGCCTGTGCCCGTAGGGGCCCTGTGCCCGTAGGGGTCTGTCAGGAATGCTGGGACCCATTGGGCAGTGCTAAAGGGTCCCGCCCCCCCAGCTCTCTTGCTTACTTTTCTTTTTAGTTCCTTTTGGATTCTGCTCTTGGTGATTCCCAACACATGATCGCAGAGGAGTGGGCCTCCTGGAATAAAAGCAGGCTTCATCTAAATGCTGGTGCTCTCAGGGCACAGTCTGTTGGTCCTACCCAATTAGGTGTGATGATTGCCCTTGTGTGGCCCGCTGTTCCCAAGAGACCAATCTGAGTTCCCTAACATAGAGCTGGACTGAACTATGCAAATCTAATTCAAGGAGTTTGCTCTAGAAGCCTTTAGCCTCTTTGGGCACAACTACCTGAGATACCATAATGAGCAGTACACTACTCTACTGCACATTAGACTATCACAGCAAAAACCATTCTAATGTGCTAAGATGCAGTAGAATTAGTCTACTGCACATTAAGCATCACAAAAAAGCTGTTCCCCTTTATGAAGTAATGCACTATTATGTAGTACCTCATATTAGAAAGCACTTTTGCATGTGCTCCTGGGGTGGGGGGGGGGTGGCGTTTTATTTAAAGCACCACTGCATCTTGTGCACCAGTATCCCTGTGCTTAAAAATTGCAGCAGAGGTGCTTGAACTAAAGCTCACTTGATGAGCTTTAGTTCAAGTGCTCCTGCTGCCATTTTTAAGTGCAGGGATGCTGATATACAAGAGACGGGAAGCTGCTGGAGTGCAGCATTTGCCATGCTGTGGGCATAGGGAGAGACATTTCAAAAGCCTGAGCCTGAATTGATTCAATCTTTGCAGGTTAGTCTAACCTGGCTTGGCTGAACCAGTTTGTAACTGTACAGACATCCCCTCTGGACTGGAGAAATCCAGGCACATGCCTGCAGTGGCTCAGGCTGGAAGCTGCGGGGTGCTAGAGCAGCCCTCCCATTCCAACTCAACAGGGTGTCTGCTGAGTATACTATGTGGTGTGGCTTCCCTGCTTCTCGCAGCAGCTGACTTCATTAGGAAGGCGCACAGTCCGTGATGAGTTGCCTTCTCAAGGAGATGCTCTCTGCAGGTTCAGGGAATAAGTAGGTTTCCGTTGTGAATTCTTCTATTCACTAGCATTCACAGCACTAGAACGACAGCCCCAACAACCATAGGCTTCATACTCAGTGCAGACGCTGCACTGCAGCTGCAGCCACAACCACCATAGCCCTGCCAGGGCACTGTCCCTGACTTGCAGGCAGCTCCTCTCAGGTGAGAGGGTAGAGCAGTCTCCTATCCCTAGAAGAGCTCACTTCACACTAGCCAAGGAGCTAGGTGTCACTTCTAAGGAGGTAGGAGGGAAGGCTTCAGTCAGAGCCTAGGTGTGTTGTACCTGCCTGGCTGGGATGTTGCACTCATGGTGGCTGTAGCTGGTGATACTGCTCTGAGCTCCTTTAGCACAGTTTGAGGTTATTTGTGTTCCTCTAGGACCTGTGCTGGTATAAAGCATGAATAGGGTGCCCAGGAGTGGAACAAATGCAACTTGAGTTTTATGCCATGCCCTGCAACAGCCAAGGGATAAAGTCCTTTCAGTTCTGATGGCCTTAGATTGTCAAAGAGGAAGGCTATACTTATACTTCACGTGACAGCAGATAAAAAAGCCTAAATCTGGCATATGAAAATGAATGAGTTCTTGCTTAAGTGCTTCAATATTGAGATGCATCTAAATCAAATTATTCAGTGTGGGGTAAATTTCCACCACCAGGTTAGCAGCTTCTCCTAAACATTAACTGTATGCAATTCCCATGCTGAATACCCTTCAGAGTTATTTTAGAGGCTTTCTCTTTTCCATTTTTATGATATGTTTCTAAATTAAACTTATCAGGGTGAGTAATGCCTCATAGCTTCTCCATGTCAGACATAATGTGACTTGGCTGCATCTTGGTGTTTACATGGAGGAATTGAACACAGTGCTTTCTGTTCCATTTATCTTCATGTTCAGAAACAAAAAGTAATACTGCAGGTGTCCTCTGGTGTTCTTGAGGTGGGGTGCATGTGGGCAGTTGGCATGCTACTGTTCCAGCTGCCCTAGCACTAGCTGCTGTCCTGTCTACTCTGACTTACTGGTTGTGATCCTGCAGTCATCTTCCCTGTAAGTAACTGGAGATGGTTCCAAAGCACTTAAACTTGCAGGTGAAGCTGTTTCTGAACCCTACAACTCAAAGGTTCTGGTTCTTCCCATCTTGGGTGTTAGGTAACTCTACCACATCAGTGGAGCTTGTGGTGTAAAACTCATGAATATGCAAGGAAAATCAAGCCCAAAGTTTTATAGGGTTGGGAGACGTATGTTCTAGGCCTGTGCAAAGCTTTGGTCCCTGATTCGATTCGGCGGTGATTTGGCCCAATTCGGATTTGGAGATTTGCCCACCGAATCAAATCGGAGAACCCCTTAATCTCTCTGAATCAAATCAGAAACCTCAAAATTGATTTAGAGAGATTCAGAAAGATTTGTAGATTCAGACATAGAGACAGCTTTAAAGGTGTTTTCTAAATACCTCTAGGTAGCAGGTGGCTCATGCATGCTGCGATGCTGGGGTGGATGGAGCATCCCACAGGAGCGTGGGAGGCCCCCCAGCATGCTCAGCAGCAGACCCGGAAGTGGACCAGAAGCACTTCCGGTCCACTTCTGGGTCCACTGGGAAGTGCGCAGGGCCCCCCCCCGCGTACCCCTGGCTTGGCGACTGGTGCCTCATGAGTCTGGGGGGGGGAGGGACAGCAACCGGGGTCCCCCCATGGCCAATCGCCAAGCTGGGAGCTTGTGGGGGGCCCACCCTGCAAGTTCCCCTGTGGACCTGGAAGTGGACCGGAAGTACTTCTGGTCCACTTCTGGGTTCACCGCCAAGCACATGGAGGGCCTCCCTGCACTCCTGTGGGATGCTCCGTGCACCCCAGCATCACAGCGTTCACAAGCCATGCTGGTACCTCAAGGTATGTAGAAAAAACATTTAAAGCTGTGTCTGTGTCTGAATTGCTGATTCTCTGAATCAGCATTGAATTGGATTTGGAGATTCGGCCACCGATATCGAATCTTCAGATCCGAATCACTGTCCCTGATTCGGGCCGAATCCGAATTTGAATAGGACCTGCTTCGCACACCCCTAATGTGTTCAGCATTGAAACTAGAGACATAGAGTCAAAGAGAGCAAAGTTGCTTGTACCAAGACAAGTAGTGCTGTTCATAGTGGGTATATTTTGGGATGCATTTCAGATGCCTTTTCTACTCCTCTAACACTTCCTTTCTCAGGTGCTACGAGGTATTTGTGGTGGCGAAAGCCTGTTGCATGTTCTCAACACTCCAGAACTGAGTCCTTCAGCATACAGTGGCTACTTTGCAGCTTGGGGTCTAGGCAGGCACTGCCCAGGGCTGGTACCAGAAGGGAAGTACATGGGAGCACTGTGTACACTCTACAAGTGCATACAGACCCTGCTTGGTGCACAGAAAGAAGCAGAAGTACTTTACCCCGGAGCTCACATCCCAGCCAGGATGATGTTGGCTACCTTAGGCTGGATTTTTCAAATTGCAAATTGCCAGTGAAAGATCTGTTGTGGGGATGAGGGAAGCATTGTCCCCATCCCCAGTGACAACAGGTCTGAATTTGGCAGCTCAAGGTAGGCAACTAATTTCAGCTGAATGGTTCAGGAAGCCAGAGTGCTTATTGGCTTTTGCTCACAATCTGTCCCTGAAGCCAGGTCCCTCAAGTATTTCCTTTAGAGAGGTAAAGAGTGGATCAGTCTTGGAGCCATCCTTTTTGCAGTGCTGGAAAATTAGGGGTGCAGGGTCTGGGCAGTACTGGGAAGGAGGAGAGAGAGGTTCCTCACAGTGCTTGGTTTTTGGCTGAAGGAGATGTGAATGAGTTCTCCCCCAGGTGATGATGGCCACACAAGGCCAGAGGAACCTCTGCTATTCAGATGTTCCAAGCTTGGAAACAGGTAAAGGGACTCAGCTGTTAGCTGTTTAATGCTTCATAGATTTCATAGACATTAGGGCTGGAAGGGACCTCGGAAGATCATCGAGTCCAGTCCCCTGCCCCAGGGACAGGAAGTCAGCTAGGGTCAAAGGATCCCATCAAGATAGGCATCCAAATGTTTCTTAGGAGTCCAGAGTAGGTGCTTGCACCACCTCTGGTGGCATTCTATTCCAGGCCTTGGGGCTTGGACAGTAAAGAACTTTTTCCTTATGTCCGGCCTGAAATCATCTTGGAGGAGTTTGTGACCATTTGACCTTGTCATCCCTTGGGGTGCTCTGGTAAACAGGCTTTCTCCCAGATCCTGATGTACACCCCTTATATACTTACAGGCAGCCACCAGCTCACCCCTGAGCCTGCACTTTTCCAGGCTGAGGAGTCCCGTGGCTCTCAGCCTCTCATCATAGGGCCTGTTCTTCTGTCCTCTGATCATGCACGTAGCTCTCCTCTGGACTGTCTCAAGCTTTTCTACATCCGTTTTAAATTGGGGGCCCAGAATTGGATGCAGTACTCCAGCTGCGGCCTCACCAAAGCCGAGTACAGCGGGAGAATAACATCCTGGGATTAGCTTGAGAAGCATCTATGGATGCAAGCCAGAGTTTTGCTCGCTTTACCAGCTGCGACATAATGCTGCTGCATTGCTTGTGGCCACTCTAGTTGCAGGACTAATTGCAGTCTGGGGCAGTGCCTGTGCTCATCTGTACTATTTGAATGTAGGCAGGATAGATATAATTCAGCCTGAAACACTGAACAGTGTAAGTACAGCCCAGGTGGGCAGCAGTACTAGGGAAAGGCAAGAACCAGCCTGTGTGCCCAGACAGATGTTCTCACTATAAGGGTGTAGTCATGCATTACTGCTC